CACACACACACACACACACACTGTGTATATGTATTTCTACCTTATAAAGTCAGCAGTGATAACAATTATCACACAGGAGGAGATCAACAGATTTCAGTCTTTAGGCTTCAAGTCCCAGATCACAGTCATCTCAATCTGATTTTCTCCTCTGTGGAATCCCAAGAGCTGGTTTAGCTTACTTAATCACCTCACAGGGGCTGGTCCTTTCCTGCCACCCCCTCAAATCTAGAACTCCTGATTTGTGGTTCACAATATTTCAGTCATCTACGAAAGCATCAGGAGATTAGATACTTTTAGTCAATGTCAGGGACAAAAAACTTCTTTTATGAGAAAAGATCCTCAAGTATAAAAATGTGCAATCTTATCTCTTTCAAATATAGAAACTTTAAGGTTCAAAGAAAAAGAAAAACCCACTCTAAACTATACCATCACCAGACACAACAGCCACAGGAGCTGGAAGACCTGCCGTTTCCATTATATAGAACACAAAACTTCTGAGACCTCACTACTGAATAAAAGAAAACGGTGGGGCTCTCCACACAGCACTCCTTAGCCCAGCAACAGGAGACCGCCAGACAGAATGCCCTGCTCTGCCGATCCCCAGTGCCTCTGCAGAGTCCCTGGAAATGTCTCCTAACTGCCAGACTCTGGCTCTGGATCATTCTATCCTGCGGATCCCTTCTCTTTAGGCTTGGTATCACAGTCTCAGGAAGTAGTCTGTCTTTTTGTGGTATTGACAGCATGTGAGTCCAACCTTCTTTTCTTCAGCTGGTGCAAGTGGGATCTGGATTTTATATGTGCTGAGAAGACAAAAAAAAAAGCTCATTAGGATTTCTTAGAATTATTCCGTACACAATCTTTTGCTTTAACAATAAGTAACAGAATCAACATATGTCTCAGTACAGCTGCTTAGCATTTTTAAGGAAAGAATAAGTTGTATGGCCAGTTTGCTTAGCAAACCAGAGAGAGCTACTGTGCAAGTGTACCCTGCTAGGTCCACACCACTAATCCTCACAATAATCTTGCAGGACAGTCCATTCTACTTATTGTACACAAGGAGAAAAACTGAAATTCAGAGGTCTTACATTTTGTTCAAGGTCACAGCAGGCAAACTCTTCTGCTTAGACCTAGAACTCCAAAACGGAACCCCAATTTCTAGAATCAGGCCTCTATGATATCAGACTTCCGAGTACAGAACTATTTCAACTCAAATGTTAAGAAATTCAAACCCTCACCTGTGCCTCATGCTGCAGCACCGTGACCTATAAATGTGAGCGCCAGAGCTGCCTGTTTCCCGCCCTGCTGCTCCTGGTCCGACATGCCTAGCCGCATGCCCAGCCTGCATCAGATCAGCCGTCTGAAGGACTAACCCACAAGGCTCCCATTCTGCAGCACACAATGCTCCACAGAGAGCGAGGAGTCCCTGCCACCTCTTCTGAGGGTCCAGCAGGGAAGCTGAGTGGCCTCCGCTGTTCTCTCTGTGTAGCTGACCTCTCACCTCCAGACAGTTTTCACCTTCTGACTCACTCACATGGGCTTCTTTTTACTATCCCTCTCTTTTTCAAGGAAATCTCACATGGGAACACCAAAAGAGAGGAACAACTAGATTAAATTCTTTTATACACATGAAAAACATGATTCTTAAGGGCTGAGAAGCAAGTATAAGTAAGGAAGAGGTTAGAAGTCAAAGAACAGTGTACTGATGAGAAAAGTCAAGCTTTGTTTTCCAGCGAGCGCCTAAGGCAGACGCTGGGCTCTGGTCCGGCTCTCCATGGCAGCAGGAGATGGGAGCAAGGACTTGACAGACGGCACTACAGAGGGCTCACACAGCTTCGCGCACAAAGGCTCACAAATGTTGTTTCTCTAAGGCTCTCTGTAAAGACATTCGACAAATCTAACCACTAAGTTTCCTTTACAAAACAGACACTCTTTCTCTTCCCCTTTCATGATTATAAACCAATGACAATCGAGGCTTCTTCTGCTGGTTGGGCAATCACAGCCGTCCCCAGACTCTGACAATGGAGTTCATTTTGCCAGTTAACAGTTAATAGACCTATCATTCTATTGGTTGATATGGGGAGAAAATGTACTTCTCTGAGAAGCCAAGTAAAGCAGGACTCTGAACAGAAGGATTCCAGCCACTGGGTGAGCCACAAGCCCCACGGTTTGAAACACCACTGCATTTTAGCAAACTACCTTGAGAAATACTGATTCGGCCGCTTCCGAGGAATGTATGTGCTCCGGAGGAAGAACTGGACTTCCTGCTCCCTCCTAGCTCTGCTTCTGCTTCTGTCTCTTGGGTGCACTGCCTTGATGCCTTTACACTCTTTTCTCATCTCCGCTAAATTTCTAAACATGAAAGTGCCAAAAACTCCTCTCAGGCAGGCGTATGAAGTCAAAGCTAACTGCAGACCTCTCAGTATAAAATATCCATTCCAGCTGAAGATGGAGGGCATATGATCTTCCTTTGCATGTCAGAATACTCCGCAGCTTGGGAAAGCCTCCAAAGACAAGCACAGGCTCGGGGATCCGGCTGTTCCTTTACAAATAAGCAGACCCTGGGGTTCAACCTACCAAAGACCTCCGGTTTCAACAAGTTTGCGGCCGCGCCCTTACGGAGCTCCGGTGTCCTCCTCACACCCTACCTGCCCATTCTCGGTCCCCGATGATGACCCGGTCACAGAGGTCACACATGTGGTAACTTCGCTTGTTCTCAGTTCCACTGTATGGGACCTGTACTGGAGCTGCTGTAGGCTTGTGGCCCTAGAAGAACAAGGAGGGACACAAGGGCATGCTATTCAAGGAAACTGAGGATGATTCTTTGGTAGTAAGAAGAAGTGAGATCTTCCCGATTCTTCTTTTACATCCCAGGGAGCAGGTGGGCTGTGAACAGATTTTAGCAACAACCTTTCTAAATGTGAAAGTAGAAATACTGCCCCCAGGGATTAAAAAGAAAAAAGTAGCCAGCCCTTCTCCTTTATTCCACAGCAAAGAATCCTGGTTCCCCAACATAACAACGAAGGAAAGTGCTCTAAAAAGCCAGAAAATGAACTGCACTATGATTATAGTCACCTGGATGAAACTGTGTACGATATCAAGGGCAGGTTCAAGAACAGATTCTTTCCATCTTGAGACATCAGACACCTCTAAGCCATATACTGGGGGGGCACCGGGACCAGGTCCTAATAAGAACGAAGAAAAGTTGCAAGAAGTCAGCATCCAAGACCCAGTCATTCTGTTCATAGGACTATAAAACCCTGAAGGGGGACACACAGCCAAAGGAATAAACATTTGACCATCCTATTCATTCTACCATAAACACGAACCACAATCGAAGAAAGACCATAAAGGTTGATGTCTGTAGCCAACAAGCCTGGCCATGTAACCAGACAGTAAGGTGCAGAACTTTTCAGGTCAAGAAATCAAAATGGGGTACTGTCGCTCTGCTAACCTGTATGTAGGCTAGAACATAAAGACTGCACATCAAAGAAAGAAAGAAACTAACAGCTTTAAGCGCCTGCTATGTCATCTTACTGTTACGGGTACTCTGTGCCAAAAGAGTTTATGGTTCTTTAGGCGACTTTAGTATCTTTAGTTTCACTAGTTTCAAAGTTACACACATCCCTCCAGCTGCAAGCATTAGTGAAACTCCTTGACAGTGCACCAATAACCATGAGCTGGGAACAACAGTATCAGCCAATGAGCTGATGAGCCTGAGAACTAGAAAGAAGTCTTAGAATAGATCTAGCTGAATCCCTTCCTTTAAGAGCCGCATCTAGCTGGGCATGGTGGTACACGCCTGTAATCCTAGCACCCAAGAGGCTGAAGCAGGAGGATCACCATGAGTTTGAGGCCACCCTGGGTTACACAGTGAATTCAAGGCCAGCCTAGATACTAAGTGAGACCCTGTCTCACACAAAAAAATTAAAAATAAATAAATAAAAACAAAAAAGCCAGATCCAGGGGAGTGTTCAAGAAACACACTTGGATAGTTGTTTATGAAGCTACTTGGCAAGCACAAGGACCTGAGTTCAATTCCTGGTATAAAAAAACAAAACAGTAAATTACCTTCCACAGCTAGGTAAGCCAGTTGCCTAAAAGCAAAGAGCATCACTCTACGGACAAACAACATCAAAGGCATCAGGATGCCAACGGCTGGCAGGTGCTGGCCTTTTGATTGTGCCAACCACAAATAAGATTCTTCAGAAACTGGACTGGGCTACACCTGCCACCACATGGAAAGGTGAGACTGGGAGGGCGCAGGCGGCACCCACAGCACACCTGGCCTTGGCTAAGCTCTGCACCTGTTTCCAGGCCACTCTACATTTTCCTTTCTCCGCTAAGTCCTTTGTTGGACTTCTGTGCCCTGTCTAAGCACCTTTCAACAAGTTCTCGGCTCCCAGCTGCTATTTCTGGCTTGGGTCCAAGGCCAAGCTGGGGTAGGGAAGTCCTTCTGGCTCCCTGCCAGAGCCATACCCCAGCGGGCCAGCCCGGGCCAATCACACGTGGCTCCTGACTTACAAGGCAGCTGTGCCTTTCATTCTAGCACCAGGACTTTACCAGCACACATGAAGGAGGAACAGGCATATGACACTGTGCCACCCACCCCCGCCCCTAGAGATGGGCGAGTTAAGTGTGGCTTTACCCCAGGAAGTTCTAAGTTGTTATTAAAAAAGACTTGTTACAGACGTATTGTTCAACTTGGGAAGAAAGGCTGCAACTGAAATTTGTAATACCGAACCTCAACTTCGGCTGACACTAAGACTCAATCTGTCAGGTCATGCAGGGAAAGTAGGATAAACAGAAGAAAACAATGCAATGGCCAACAATACAGATCAACGCGGGCATGTTCCGAGGCACCAAGGATCAGGAATGGAACGGAGGCTTCAGCTGGCCTCACCTCAACTAACGCAGAAGTCTTAGGGCAAGACCTAAATATGGAATGATCCTGAAGCTTGTTTAAAAAGTGTCTATGAGACAAAACTGGAGTTTCACTTATGCATAAACTCCTTTTAGCAAAAGTATATACTTTCTCACCTCAGGCCCCACACTAGTGCTGTCTATCTAAAAGTGTAAGATAAAAGCAGTAAGAAGAGCGTAGATACTGGAGTAGGCCTGTGTTCAATCTCCACCACTTCCTATAGGGGGGTGGGGTGGGGGTGGGGCAAGTGATTTAATTTCACCAGGCCTTCATTTTGTCATCTGTAAGACAGAAAGAAAAACCTTTACAACTTGAGGCTCACTGATATACATATAGCACACCAAATTCAGCGCCAAAGACATACAGTGCAAGGTCACTGAGTGACAATTTCTTTCCTTTTCCCTTAAAAGTTCTATTCAACTAAAGTTTAACTGAAACAATGAAAGTATCATGTACCTGATCACAAGGAAGTGCTGAGAGAAGAGTGAAGGCTTTATCTTTTAATCATATGGCCCAAGAACCAATTTGATTAGGAAAACTTCCTGTAGAATTCTGCTTTTTCTTTGTTTGTTTGCTTGTTGCAGTACTGGGGATTGACTGCAAGGCCTTTGCACTGAGCCATATGTTCAGCCCCCTGCCCCATTTTTTGGAGACAAGAGTCTCGCTCTGTAGTCCAGGCTGACTTCAAACTCTCCTGGAGAGATCATCCTGCCTCAGACTCCCAAGTGCTGGGATTACAGGTATTCAACAGCACATTCGGCTTTCCCAACTCCTTTTAAATTTTTATTTATTAATTTATTTTGAGACAGGGCCTTGCTAAGTCACTACATCGCCCAGCTGGGGTTGAACTTGTGATCCTCCTGCCTCAGACTCCTTGGATGCTGGTGCCACCACACAGGTTTCTGCTTTCAGTACAAAACTGAGGCTAAAATTCAGCCCTGAATACAAACGCTACTAAGATGTTCCTGTTGTGCTCTTACCTATTTGCAGTCATTCAAGGAATAAGGAAGACTTTTCAGTGGAAACTTTTCCCCCCTAAGCCCTCACAAGAAATCCTACTGAACAATCACTTAGGCCACAGACCCTTCCTCAGGTCAGGTCCGAAATCTCAGAACAGACACTAAACTCTTAGACTAAAAACTAAATTTCATTTCCTGAATGAGCAAAGGGCATCTATATTTTATCACAGAGGAGTGCAGGGGATAAGGATAATCTGGAGACTTACTGCTTAAGAAACGGTTTTTAACCCATCGATTTTGCTTCCGAGCATATCTCTTAGTTACTTGTTTCAGAGCTTGGATACCTGAAAGATATGTTAAGTAAAGGAACATCTAGGCAAGCACTTCTTTCAATGCCAAGTTGCAAGCCCCCGCAAGTCCAGCAAAGAGAAGATCAGCACTACGTTAGATTTGGTGAATGGCAAGCTCAATTCTGAGCTGAAGGCCATTTGGGACTGTTTTAGCCTCAGCTCTTGCTCAGACCATACCAGCATGGTACTGTCACCCAGGGATGTGATGTTCAAGACTAGGTTAGATGGAGAGATTCACACCTTTCTTTAGAAGCTGGTTACTAGTCTCTGGTGTGCACTTTCCCTCAGTGATCAGGTACTCATGAAATTCCTTGAAGCCAATTGACTGGAAGATACCATGTTGATAGTCCTGGCTGGAAACAGGAGAGCATCAGCAGATGAGCCATTGCCTTTGAAAGCTAGCAGGGGCCTTGGAGACAATCCACTTGAGATCCTGAGCAATTAAGACTTTGAAATTCTCCCCTGTTCTCCCCAGCAGCTCCTAGGAATGTGTGAAAGACTAGAAAACTGCAAATATAACTAACTAAACCTCCTTCCAACAAGTCTTGCCAATGCCAAGGACAAGCCAATAAATAAGTAGGACTAAAGCCAGTATTATGTCTTAGGGTCTTTCAATCACAGGTAAGGGATGGTGAATAAATCAGAGTGAGAGCCAAATCCTTACCTATTTTCTGAAGAGTTCTTCTGATTATAGCGTCTGTGAAAATCCCTTAGTTCCTCCAAGAGCCCCGCAGCAAGCATGTCATCCACTCTCTTATCCAAGCGCTCATCTAAAACTTGAATCAAATTAGCCCATGAACCAGCAACAACCTATCGCAAGTGCCTACCACACACTTACATGGTGAATGCACAGGCTGCCCAACAGAACTTGTTCAAACAGAAGAAAGGATTCTAATTTCAAAGATTATATAATGACCCCTTATTTATTCAAATGTCAGACTCTGCAACTCCAAATAAAAACAGCCAGAATGAAGTACAACCCTTCTCATTACATAAAGCAAAAACATAAAATTATAGCTGTATGAAAGATAAATATTTTATTCTAAAATGGAATGTGTATTCACTGCTTTTTAAGAGATAGTTGAGGGGTCCCTGATTCTTAACTTTCATCATTACATTTCTTACTCTAGCTTTGTGTTATTTTCTATTTAAGGACCCCTGGATGGAATCCTAGACAGAAATAAGGAACTTATATCCAAAGCCATCACATATAAAACAGGGTCTTGCTTTATAGTTCAGGCTGGATTTTATAACTATGTAGCCCAGGCTGGCCTCAAATTTGTGGAGATCCTCCTGCCTCAGCCTCTCAAAAAGGATATCACACCTGGCTAGCAACTGTTTTTCTTCCTAAAAACACGCATATAAAGAGGACTCACCACATGTGAAGCACATTCTGAGTACTTCATTGGCATTTATTTATTTATTTATTCGTTCATTCAATCAGGGCCCTTTGCATGCCAGTCAAGTGCTCTACCACTGAACTGCTGCCTCAGTTCCACCACTTTGTATGTACTATTTCATTTAACCCTTGCTGATGCCATGCACTGCACAGTATTATTATTATTGTTGTTATTATTATTTTCTCCACTTGAGAGTTGGAGCACAGAAAGGTAAACTAAGATAACTGGAGTAAGAATTTGAGGGCTGGGAATTTAGCTCAGTGGCACTGAGCCCGCCTAGTAATGCCAAGGTCCTGAGTTAGATTCCCGGTACTAAAATAAAAAGAATTTGAAATGAGACAGTGCTCCTCAGAGACTGTGTTATTACTCACTACACTACACTGCCCTCCACAAAGTTATCTCATCTTCCCACTGCCAGCCCATGGGTTACCTTTGCAAAGTGGCCTCTGACTCCCTTCAGGAAGACCCCACAGCACTCTAAAATGTGCCTTGATGAGAGCCAGGGAGCTCAGTGGCACTGCACCTGACTCATAAGCACAAGGTCCTGAGTTCAATCCTTAGTACCAAAGAAATAAAATAAAATGTGTGCTGAGCCCAGCATTTATCACAGTGTGGTTCCCAGCTCCTTGTCTGTCACCCTCCTAACTAGCATGTCCTTAAGTGCACGCATCTCTTATTCATCTCTGTAACTGAGGAACTACACAGACTGCTCAGTACTTCCTTGAATGCTTACTGAATATCTGCTGGATGAATAAGCTTCTCTGTCACAGGCATTATTAGACTGCAGGGATAAAAATACCACTAATCATCGTGTCCGCCTCTCAGGCCTATGGCTTCTAGAATAATCAGTGATCCAGACTCCAGCCAAACCTGAAATCGGGGTTCTCCTTCTCCTCTGGGCCTGCCCTGGACAGCAGTCTCCTTCCCGTCCCACCCATCCCATGCTAACCCTCTGGTATCTTATCCTAGTTCCACCACTACCCTTCCTCCCTTTCCAGACAGATATCAGGGGAATGGTGTGTATCCAAGGCAATGAGTGATGATGATAATAAACGTAATAGCTGGCACTTAATAGCATAATAGTTAGTGCTCATTATGAGCCTCTCATGGTTCTAGGCATTTTATACACAGTAACTTACCGATCTAGGTTCTACCTCAGATGGACTCTGGGACATCAAAGGGCTTTTTACCTGTCTGGTCAGCATGAAGCCAGAGGATGCAAGGGTTGGGGAACTTCAGAGGGCCACCAAGGGGACCACCACCTTCCTCTGAATGTTGACGATGAAGAAATTCACTGTGAGAGATTCCCGTTTCTTCAAACACTTGTAAGCTCCTAAGTTATTTTAAAAGGAGTGAGGAACCCATACAAATCATTAGGAAATATTCATTCTCAAGCGAGATGAGGAGAAAAGCTGTCGACTGTAAAAAGTGTCATTTTCATTCTCACTGCCTAAGTCCTCTCTGCCCCAAAAGAAGGTACAGGGTTATTCTAAGGTGTGGGTCCCTTTCTGGGTAAAGTGAAAAATAATATTATTCGGAAGATATTTCTGGTAGCAGTTAAATAGGTTCAGAAACAATGGGTTTCTTCTACTCAAACAAAATAAAACTCACATACTCACTTTCAAGTAGCAGTAAAGGAGCTTGTTTGGGACACTGTGTACAAGCCTACAAGTCTGGTCTCGCTGGAGTGCCTTTCCCACAGTACAGAGGTATGTTGTATATCCAGCTCATCAGCTTTCTTTTCAAATATGACCAAAATTAATGAAGAATGTTCCTGTCTAACCCAGAACTCTACTGGCACAAGTTCACTGAGTAAAAAACTTACATATAAAGTATGATCAAAAAATATAGTGAACATTTGGATTTTTTTTTTTTTTACAGTAAAGGTACATTGTCAACAATCCCCCTCAAAATACTCTTCCTTGCTTCAAATACACTTATCCTATCATTCTAGCCACATTCTGAAGCAGTTCCAGAAGTCTTTCATGAGTGTCTTTAATTGCTCTGTCAGATGCCTCAACGCCCTGAATCAATTTAAAACATTCACCTCTCAACGGTCATTTTGACTCTGAGGAAAAGCCAGAAATTACACAGTGCCAGATCCAGGGAGTAAGGTGGATGAGGATGCACTACAGTGTTCTTACCAGCCTGCCTTGCCGCTGAAGGGTGCTCAGCAGTGCTGTTCATTGTACTTCTCAGCACACCGAGTAAAGACACAAAAAGAGGACTTCCTGGCTGCTTCAGAAAATGGCAAGAATCACGGCATAAGTGTGTTCAAAGCAAGGGTGCATATTTCTAGGGGGATTTGTGGCAATGTGCTTTTTACCGTAATAAAGATTTTTAAATTTAAAGTCATATTTTAATCACACTTCATTATAACATAAATATAAATATAATTATTATTATTTTAGTACTGGGGATTGAACTGGGGCTAATAAGCTCAGCTACATCTCCAGCCTTTTAAAAAAATTAATAAATTTATTTATTTATTTTTTCAACAGAATCTCAAGTTTTCTAGGCTGGGGTCAAACTTGCAATCTTCCCGCCTCAGCCTCCCAGAGATTATAGGTGTGTGCTACTGCACTTATCTTCACATACTTATCCTTAAGCTGCCATCTACTTCTGTGTGCATATATACCACTAAGTAACTGAATTTCCAAATCTATCCTCCAACACTGCGCTTGACTGCAATTTATCAGCTTGAAAATAATCATTCCCTTCCTGGCTCATTTCTACATCCCGAAATTCTAACATAAGAGAAGATAACCCTTGTCCATCAGTATCAATGGCACTCAAAAAAGATCTATGAGAAAAAATGTAACAAATATTTTACTCTTATGGATGTTAGAATATAGACTCAACCTAAAGAAAGATTTTTCAAAATCCCTCCAATCATCTCAAGAGATCCTAGAGCTTGAAAGCTATGGACTCTTCTTAAGGCACAATTCTCAGGACATTACTAGTTTAAAAGCACCAAAATAGCCGGGTGTAGTTGTACATGCCTATAATCCCAGCATTTGAGAGCCTCAAGCAGGTGTATTACCTTGAGTTTGAGTCCAGCCTGGGCTGCATGCACAGTAAGCTCAAGGCCATTCCGAACTACATAGTAAGAATTTGTCTCAAAAAAAAAAAAGCAGCAAAACATATACTAACTTAGAAGGTGATAAGAAAAAATTAGTCAAATGAGAGAATAATAAAAACAGGCTCTAGAGCTCCTAAAGAACATAAAAATTAATGTGAATGGTAATGCTCTGAGATTTAAAAAGCTGAAAGATTTCTATTAAAATGTTTCAACTATTAGACTCCAGGAAAAATCTAAACTTTATTAATCTAGAACATGCCATCTGGCCAGGGTAATATCCCCCAAAAAATGAACTGTGGCCCTCCAAAAGACAGCCCTACAAAAAAATCTTATTCCCTAAAGTGAGATTTCATTAGGATTGGGGTGCTACTAAAAAGAAAAATTCTAAAAACACTCCTGGGGGAGGGCAGAATAATGACAACAATATGAAGAAACACTGATCCAGAAGAATCATTTGAGTAAAGTACTTCATAACCCTTATCGATACCAGTATTTACTATAATATTTAATGTTTGTAATCATTCATATAGGAAGATCTTCATCAGATGTTCTACCACGCCAGATGTGGTAATCACTCCCAACAATGAAGAAAAACTAAGTTAACACAAGAGGCTGAGATTCCAAAACAACCTAAGAAAACACGACCTTATGAGTTCATTTAGCTCCGAGTCCCTACGAAAAAGTCTCGGTGTACAAAGGTGAGCTGATCTATGAGACGGTTGAAAACATCAACCTCCACTAGGAAGGCTGCTGGGCAGGACTGAGCATTTCACAATCCATTATGAAACCCAAATCACAACGTAAACAGACTTCGTGCCAGAAAAAAATTGTATGAAAACTGTTATACAAGCAAAGATCAAATAGAGAATGAAGCAAGATTATATAGGCCTCAGGAAACACAATATCATACTATGCATTTAAAGATGTAACTACAAAGTAGGGTGCAACTGTTCACTGGGGGAGTTGGACTAAGGCAGTAACCTAGGCCTGCTGAGCTAGAACACATCAATCTCCACTCACTGCAACTACCAGGCCTGTTACCTGGCAAACTGCAGTCTCAAGGAATTCAGGGATGGCCAGACCAGGCTTTCTTACCTGGCCACTTTGCGCTTGTCGTGTGGGTGCAGCCTGGCTGCCATTTCTGGGTCCACCTGGCGTAGGCGGTTGTGGAGCACATGGCCATCCTCCTTTTCCAGCTCTATTTTCCGGTCAACCACTTGCTCGGCATCCACCTCCATGGACTATTAAATGCAAGATGAGAGTACACTGAGCCCAACAATTCAGTATGTATTGGGGCAGCCTATATGCCAGACTCTTTCCAGAGCTTTAGGAATACAGAAAGGAGATGAATCAGAAAATCTTGCCCTAACAGTGACAAGACAGATCACAAACCAAAAAATTCCAACGTGCTGTGTAAGTGTCATGACGTCACAGCAAAGAGGAAGGAGGGCTTTCTGCATAGGAAAGTACTCGGCTACCCTGCCTTTTTTTTTCTTTTTCTTTTTTTTTTTTTTTTGAGGGGGGCTACTAGGGATTGAACTCACATCCTTGCACTTGCGAGGCAGGCAGAGGAACCACTGAGCCAAATCCCGGGCCCCAGAACCTACTTCTTTGTCCTAAATACAAACTGGTACAGCAGGAGTATGGTGTGATATCTATTTTAACATATGCAGGAATCTAGTCTTTTAGCAATGCTGATCAAAGAAGGAACCAGAACGCCAGCACATCAACATTCGCAAAGTCTGGCCCTAGGAGGTATCGTCTCCATAACAAAGGTCAGTAACGGACATCTCTGACTTATACACAGTGCTGCCAGTCAGGAAATGCTGAATCAGACTAATATACTGTTAGCTTACAGGGAGATGCTAATTAATCTACACAGGAGCATTTTCCCACACATGGCCCCTGCCCGTAGGCCAGCCTAGAGGAGTACACTTCACATTTGCTACGGAATATTAAGTAGGAAAATTACAGTTGCTGAGTCTAAGCAATAGGCAAAGAGTCAACCTTCCTCCCATTAAAACCAGCTGGCATGAAAAAGGAACCCATTTCTTTGGTAGGTTAGAGAGTGAACTAAACATACCTTGGTACTGACAAGAACTTTCCAGAGCAGAGACTCAATGTAATAATTGGTTCCTCCCACGACAATAGGAATTTTGTCTCGAGCAAATATATCTTCAATGTGAACATTAAGAAAGACATCATGATATTTCATAGCAAGAGGAGAAACCTGACTCATTTGAGAAGGCAAGAATTGGCAAGAAACCACATCCCTATGTCTGCAGAGCACAGGAGAGAGTAGAAACCAAAACCAAGAGATACCAGCCTTGAATGTTTCTCCAAAAGTTCACAGAATCAGTTCTAATTAGTTCTGGGGGAATTTATATAAAACAGAGACAAATGTATGTAGTAACTGTTTCCAGTTCTAGAACTTTCTAGGTCATGCTGTTAAAATTCAGTTTCATTGGTATTTCAAATTAGTTTAACAAGTGTAAGGACTCTCATATAACCAAGTCGAATATCAGCTGCTCTGGAAACCATCCAGGTGACACCCAGTGTTGACTTTGCCTTCTATGATAAAACACAAGCTGATTTCTCTAAACCATATTCCTTAGTCTCAAGCCAAGCATGGTCACATAATCCCAGCACTGAAGAGGCTGAAGCAGGAGGATCATCATGAGTTTAAGGCCATCCTGGGGTCCACAGTGAGTTCAAGGCCAGCCTGGGCTACACAGAGAGACCGTGTCTCAAAAACAAAAAACAAAACCCCCCATTAAAAAAAAAAAAATTCACACTCCTTAGTCTCAGTATGTCTCACCATTGTATGGTAGCAGTATATATCTTAGCCACTTGAAAATTCACAAGATACTGAGAAGCACAAGTCCTGAGACAGAGTTCAACTACCAGAGGCTATTTCTTGGGCAAGTTATTCAATCTATCTGAGCTGAACTTTTTTCTCCTGTAAAATCTCCAAGTTCTTATGAGCATTAAATGTAACAATATACACAGAGCCTCTACTACAATGCCTAAAAATAGCAAGTATTCAATATACTTGTGCTTTAGCTACTACAGTTTTAAAATGCCTACTACTTTGAGTCTTTGAATTCTTTGCGTGTGTGTGTGTGTGTGTGTGTGTGTGTGTGTGTGTGTGTGTGGTAAATACAGGGCATTCACACTGAGCAACATCTCAGCCATTATTTTAGTTTGAAACAAAATCTTGCTAGGTTGCTAAATTGCACAGGCTGGGCTTGAACTTGTGATCCTCCTTAGCCAGGTGTAGTGGCACACACCTGTAATCCCAGCATCTGGGAGGCTGAGGCAGGAGGATCACAGCAAATTTGAGGACAAGCTGGGCTTTATACTGAGTATAGGGCCAGACTGAACTACATAGTGAGTCCCTGTCTCAAAGAAAAAAAGAACTTGTGATCCTCCTGCCTCAAACTCCCAGAGTGCTGAAGTTAGAGGCATGCACCTCAATGCCCAAGTTGAATTTTTGTCTTTAGAATCTCTGTTAAACAGATAAGTATTAGTTTTAATAAGGGCTTTGTTTGTAAGAATAACTGATTTCAAAGAAAGACTTAGAACATCCAGATAAAGAATCATTTACATAACCAGGAAGGGTGGCGTCCCATCATTTGGGAGACTGAGGGGGGGGGAGGGAGAGATGGAGGGAGGGAAAGAGAGATTTATATACAGTAATACTCCTTTCCCTTACCAGACAATATATGTGGGCACAGAAACAGATGACCTCACAGAAGCCTACTAACCCTTAAGAGGTTGGGATAGAGTAGAAAGAAATATGTTACTAATCAAGGATCATAAAGAAAAAACACTGTCTATTTGTTTTAAAAACAGAAAAATTCTCTATTCTCCCTGTAAGTTAGGGAACATATAATTAGAGTAAAATAAAACTTCAATTATATAATTAACAAAGGAAAAGGGAGCAAGGAAATTGCAATACCAGGGACAAGTGAAAATGAGGGAAGAGAACGTAACATATGCTATTAGGTGTGTTATTCTTCAGATCTGGAGTGTCCCCGCGGAAGGCTATACTTTCAGGGATCATTTCTGTGCTGGTGACTAGAGTGTCCCCTCAAAGTCTCATGTGGTTAGAGGTGGAGCCTTCAGAAGGTGACTGGACCACAGGGTACAGCACCCCTCAGTGGACTAACCCTGGACTGAGTTCACAGCTGAATGTGCTGTTAGGAGACACCTGGTGAGAGCAGGTGGGTCACTGTGCAAGTTACCTGGATGGGTGTTGTGTTCGCTCCCAGCTCATCCCTTATCTCTCTGATTCCTGGCTGCCATAAAGTGAGTAGCTTTCCTCGGCCATGCCCCTCCAACACAGCACCATGGACTGAACCAAAATAACCTCTCCACCTTTTGATTGCAGGTGTTGGGTATTTTGTCCCAGTGACAAAATAGTGACTAAGATATGATGGAAAAGGTTAAGTGTTTGCCCCAGCCATGAAACTATTGTGATTCTGGACAAAACTCTTCTCTCTGGGCCTCAATACCTTATACATGCACCTGTCAAATCAAGACCAAGAGATGACCTGGGGGTGTAGCTCAGTGGTACAGTGGCTGCAGCAGGCCCTAGTTGGATCCCTAGCACCACACCAAAAAAGAAAGGAAGAGAAGGAGGGAGAGAGTAGCACCAGTAGGCTGACTGCACCAGGGGTAGCTTCCAGCTCCTCAGGAGGCTGAGGCAGTTGGACAACAGAGGGAGGCAGTCAGGACAGCCTAGACAACATAATGAGACTATCCTGTGAACAAAACAAAACAGAAGGGCCGACTACATACTTAAGGGATTTTTAGTCTGACACTGATTCTAGGCTCTTACTAAAGTTCACAAATCCAATCTCTAAGTGATCTGTGGATTTATTCCCACTGTTGCTGTCCTTTGAAAAATCTTCATCAGCTCTCCATTTTGCATCAGTGCTTCCTGAACAATGAACTGTCTCATAGCTACAACTTATATTTGGGAATATGTATTAATTTGTAAAAGGCTTTCATTAACATTATCTCACCTAACAGTCTTGTAAAGAAGGTAGAGCAGAAATGATTATCTGCACTTTACCCATTTGACAGGCAGAAAAATATTACCTCATTCTGATTTGCATGCTCTTGATAAACAGCAAGTTTAATAAACCTTTCTCATGTACATCACCACTGTATTTTTTCCTTTATAAAACATTGCTCATGGGTCAGGGATTTAGCTCAGCGGTTCGGTGGCCTGCCTTGCAAGCGCAAAGACTGGAGTTCAATCCCCGGTACCAAAAAAAACCAAAAAAACCAAAAAAACAAACATTGCTCAAAAAGCGCAAACTGGAGTTCAATCCCCGGTACCAAAAAAAACCAAAAAAACCAAAAAAACAAACATTGCTCATGACCTTCAATCATTTTTTGCATTGACTCACAAGAGTGAATTAAATTGGGTTTATGGTAGGCTACTTCCCTTCCCTTGCTTTTTTATCGTAAAATACTCCATACATAGAAAAGAACATATGTAAATTATGAAACCTAGTAATAAAACAAATGCTCATGAAATCAATGTAAGGAAGCCTCCTGGGTGTCCACTTCCATCTCGACCTCTACTTCCCCCTCTCAAGGGTAATCACCATTTTGAACTGTTTTCTTTTGTTTTTTCCTCATCTTTTTCATCATTCCCTCCCTTTTTTTTTTGGTACCAGGGATCAAACTCGGGGCCCTTGCATGGTAGGCAGCGGAACCACTGAGCCAAATCCCTGGCCCTCTCACTTTCTTACATTATTGCTGGTGTAAATGTATCCTTGATAAGTATGTATGGTTACTTTTGTTTGCTTTTTTAAATCTTTTTGTATCATATAATGGCACTAACATATATTCTTCTGTAATATCCTACATTTATAGTTTCTTTTCTCTTCATTCTCTTTGCAATACTCGAAATTAAGACCCAGGATGTCACACTGAGCTGTTTCCAGGCCCTGTCTATTGGAGGCAGGCTTTCACTAAGTTGGTCAGTTGCCTGGGCTAAACTCAAACTTGCCTCCTCTTGCCCCAGCCTCTCAGAGTGCTGGGGTTACAGGTGTGCACAACCACAACTGGCTTAGAACGTTTCTAAGATTCTTCCACCTTGACTGATGTATGTAGCTGCGATTCATTCATTTTCATGGCTGAAAAGTTTCTTCTTTCTTTCTTTTGTGTGTGTGGGGGGGTACCAGGGATAGAACTCAGGCCCTTGCACTTGCGAGGAAGGCAGCAGAACTACTGAGCTAAATCCTGGGTCCGAAAAGTACTTAATTTATATGATAATGCATTTATGAGTAATTATTCTGTAAAGAGGAATTTGGGTGCTTATGTTTTTTGTTTTTGTTTGAGACAGGGTCTTGCTATGTTGCCCAGGCTAGCCTTGAATGCCTCAGCCTCCCAAGTGCTGAGATTAGACATGTGTGCCACCACACTGGGCCTTACATGTTGTTGCCTCTGTTAACGACAGAACTACCATAAACCTCCTGATATACCTGTAGCCAGAGTTTCTGAAAGGTACATACATAGGTGTCCTGATTGATAAACTCTTAGGTTACACATTCAAATCCAGCTATTTTCTTCTTTAAAAAAATATATCAAAGAAGTCCCTCCCTAGCTGGGCATAGTGGCACAGGCCTGAAATCCTAGCACTCAGGAGGCTGAGACAGGAGGATTGCTGTCAGCTTAAGGCCACCCTGGGCAACATAGTGAGTTTAAGACCAGCCTGAACTACACAGTGAGGCCCTGTCTCAAAACAACCAGAAGTCCCTCCCTACTCTAAAATCACATAACTGTAACTGTATTGTATACCTAAAATGTACCAATAAAGATAAAAGGGAAAAAAAAATCACATAACTACTCAACTGTGTATTTTCCCATTTGTTTCAAAGTTTCATCATAAACATATATTTAACTCCAAAATTTATCTGGAATTTATCATGTCATATGTAATTTGCATATAATGAGGAACTGACCTCCCCCCCCCCAAAAAAAAACTGTCCCTGGAACAATTATTAACTACTTTAATTTCTCTAATTGTTTTGAAATGTCACCTTGATTATAAGATAAATACTATATATATCTACATATAAAATATACACATCTGAATCTATAATTAAGTTTTTTATTCTATGCCATAAATTTGTCTAGGATTTTTGTTTTGTTATGTTTTCTTAGTTTTTTTTTTTAAAAAAAGGAACTTGCTACATATTCGAGGCTAGCGTTAAACTCATGGCAATCCTCCTGCCTCAGCCTTCCAAGTGCTGCAATTACAGGTGTGTGCCACCACACCAGGTCATCTAGTATTATACAAGGAGTGAGCAACATATATGATGAATGTTTAAAAATGTACTACAAAAAAAAATAAAATAAAAAATAAAAATGTACTATAGTAAAGGACACATTGTATTAACCCCTCTTCACTTTAAATGCCCTTAGCAGGGCCAGGGATTTAGCTCAGTGGCACCTCGCTTGCCTCAAAAGCTCAAGGTCCTGAGTTTGATCCCTGGTTCTGGATAAATACATACATATATACATACTTAAATAAATAAATAGTCTTAGCATTCTCGCCACTTTCTAAAGCAGTTCTGCAGTCCTCTGTCATGTCTTTTATGAGGTGTGATCAAAAATATGGTGAATACTTCTGCTGAGTGCTGCCTAACAGCAAGACAAGCTCATAAAAACACCATAGAAAAACCATGGAAAAACCACAGTGCAAATGAGGTCAGGTGGCTCTAAGCTCTGGCACGCTGGTCACATGATTAATGACTGGTCTTTCTGGTAATCAGTTCCCATCTGGATTGTCCCACTCATGCGAACTCAGTGCTGCCTTGCAGTGCGAACATCTCGGCAGTCCTGTGACCTTGAGGATGGAAACCTCTTGCTGAGAGGCTGGAACCAAAGAGACAGAGGAGCTGAACCCCTGTTGACTCCCTGGAACTCAAACACCAGTTCTGGACAGAATGCACCTAGGCTTTCATAGGAAAACCAACCCTACAGCTTTAAGGTGCTATAGTCGAGCCCTTGTTACCAGAAGCAAAGATCAATTCCCAATTTATACAAAACCCATCCTTAAAAAAAAGAGGCAGATGCTGGTGCTGTGGCACACACCAGTAATTCCAGCTACTTGGAAGGCTGAGCCAGGAGGATCCAAATCTGGTAAACTTAACAAGATCCTGATTCAGAGGGGCTAGGGATGTAGCACAGTTTCTGTGTTCAATCCTCAGAGCCAAAAAAAAATAAAATAAAAAAAAAAATAAAAGCCTGTGCACTCTAACAAATAAATAAAATAAATCGTGAAGCTGGGCATGGTAGTGCATGCCTATAATCATAACACAGGAGTCTGAGGCAGGAGGATTGCTTGAGTTCCAAATCAGCCTGGGCTACACAGTGAGTTCAAGGTCAGCTTCAACTACACAGCAAGTCCTTGTGTCAAAAACAAAACAAAACAGGGCTGGGAATTTAGCTAAATGGCACCGTGCCTGCCTGACAAGCACAAGGTCCTGAGTTCGATCCCTGGTACTAAAAATAATAATAATAAAAAATAAAACAATAAAAATAAATAAAAACATTATGGTATGTCATCTACCTCAGGCAGCCACAACCTAGCAACCAAAAGCACTCGCAAAAGCAGACTTTCACAACTGCTTCAGAAAAAGGCAAGAATGATGGGATACGTGTGTTTGAAACAAACAGCATGTCTTTTACTGTAATCATTTTTTATTTCGAAACATTCACTGTCTTTTTTTGACCATATCTCATACAAATTCTATGCTACTTATAATTGCTACAACTTTCCAATGTTTTAACATCTTGCAGTTTAGTTGTTAAAGGAAAGTTTGATTTTAAAATATAAAAAACTAGGCGTCCACGTTCTATTTTTTTTCGAAATCTTCTTGGTCTGATTCAAAGCTGTTTTTCTAGCCCTCCCCTACCCAACAATCCCTTTGAAATTTTAACTCCATTGTATTTCTAACTTAATTTTATATATTTATTGAGAGGTCTGGAAACAAGCTCAGCAGGCTAAGTAAATTTTTAACCAACAAAATTCACCTGGTAAGCTTGGGATTTAGCTCGGTGGTGCTGTCACCTGCCTCGCAAGTGCAAGGTCCTGAGTTCGATGCCCGGTACCAAAACAAAATAAAAAATCCAAAAAATTCACAGGGTCAGAACAGGCAGTTTTAGAGCTTGTCAGTAAAACAGTTTTTCCCAAATTGTAATGTGCCCAAGAATCACCTTGGCTTCTTGTTACACTGTAGACTCCGAATCAGTTGGTCTGGAATGGGACCCACAGGTCTGAGGGGGTACTGAGGCTTGGAGTAGTCCTCTCTTGTAATCTACATAGATCTCATGGTGATGCTACTACTTAGGGGTAGACAGGCCATTGGTGGCCCTGTTTAAAAGAAAGTGCCATTAGAAAGAAAACTTTCCTTAAGGATATCAGAGCAGTTGCCTTGTTCCTGAAGTCCACCACCGTGTAATTGGTCACAAGAGGATCCACAAAGCTGATCATATGGTGCTGGCAGATTCTCTGCTCTTGGGCAGAAACCTTGTTGGTAATAATGTCTAGTCCTTCATAGACCTAGGGGAAAGAAAATTAATGTGAGAAAATCATCTGCTTCCATAAAATGCATACCTGATGGGTAAGAAATTATGACCTATTCCTCCCTCCAGCCAAACACCTGTCTAACCCAAAGCATCAGGTCTTCCCGGTGGTCTGAGAGCACAGCCAGCTCACAAAACCTAGGTCACAGAAAGAAGAAAACAGAGCACTGGCTTTAAAAACTAAATAGTACCTATTATGTCTATAAGCTAGACAAAGTATGTAAATCTGCACCAAGTGAGAACTAATTCTGCAAGACAAAAAGGATGTTCTCTCAGCCTAAACCTGAAGCATTTAAAAGTGAGCCAGTTGGCCAAGTGTGGTGGCGCATGCCTGTAATCCCAGCACTTGGGATGCTGAGGCAGGAGAATCGCTATGAGTTCGAGACCAGCCTGGACTACATAGTGAGTTCTAGGTCAGTCTCAACTACATAGTGAGACCCTGTCTCAAAAAACCAAAAAACCAAAAAAAAAAAAAAAAAAAAAAAAAAAAAAAAAAAAAAAAAAAAAACAACAACAACAACAACAAAAGTGAGCCAGTTGTTTTATTTATTCCACTTATCACAAGTCTCCAGAAAGGTAACATTTTTCATTGCTCATAATTCTACTTTAAAATGGTTAGAAATTTCTTAAAGGGCTCTAAAAGCTTTTTAGAATTCACATAAGACTGGCTCCATTTTGTGGAGAAAGGGCCTATCTACAAAGATACATATAAAACACACATACTTTGAAGTCAGAAGCCCTAATACTGCTGTGCTCTGGTGGAAACATTGTGATCTATCCAAATTACTGCTTCAAGGGGTGGGCACATACAGTCTAAATATTCAATGGCAACATCCTGTCTCTAAGCTCTAGATCTGACAATTCAACTAAAAAGTTCAAGTGTACTTTGTCTAAATGCAAGGCTTCAGATGGAGAACAGATCTGAAAATACTAGTTTGGAAACAGGAATGAATGCTTTGGGATTAAATGTTCTCTCTGTAATCACTGATTCTACATGGAGCACTGAATGAACAAATAATAAGTTCCATAGAGCCCACAACGATGTTAAAAGCATTTTTATCTCATGTTTCCCTTTACTTATATGGGTGTCAAATAAGTACAGCACAGTGTTATGATTAGGAGGCGCCAGGCTGCCTCAGATCAATTCCTAGCTCTGCCACTGACTAGTTGCTTGTTCTTAATCAGTTACTAACCTCTCTGCATTTCAGTCCTTCATCAGTGAAATGGAGATAGTAAGAGCTACCTCATAGGGGTTGTTGTGAGGATTAAATTAGTTGACACAAAATGCACTTTGCCTGGCACACTGTAAGTGTAACAGAGGGGCCTGTATTATCACTCACTACCACTACTACTATTACAGCACAACCAGGAGAAAGGGAAATAATTTTAGTGACACTGTTTAATTCTTAAGCCTCTATTCTTAGCTACTAGGTTATTTACCAGGTTACAAGCCATCTTTAAGTAAATAAAATTGTTAAACAGCAAAATGGTACACAGGAAAAAAAATAACATAAATAGAGCCTTAGGGTAAGCACCAGCTCTGTCTTTTTATCTTAATCTGTTCCCACCGCACTTTTATACCTGAATACTGACAGCCTCTTATATCACAGTGGTGTCCTCTCTGCCTATCTTGAACCAAAAAGGTTTTCTTCTGCCATTATAAAATGTGGTAAGGTACACTATGCATCTTTCACTGTGCAAAGTAAGGAGAGACTGGAGTTAATGATTGTGTGGTCCTCTCCCCTTCTCTTTTCCCACAGTCCTTAGTTGACTCTGCTGTAGCTCAGAATTCCAAATGACCTAACGTTAAACAGCTTACACAGCAACAACTCAACTTTGCCAGTAGAGAATTTCTGAATGCTAAGCATGTTACAGTAAAAACAAACAAACAAACAAAAAACCGTCATTTATTATACTGAGAATGATGTTAAGAAAATGTGTAGCTGCAAATGTTCAGTTACCCACCTTCCAAAATATACCCAAGCTATAAACTCTCTACTAGCACTCTATCATCAAAGACCAAGAGGGCTGGTAAACTTTTAATCCTGTGCTACCTTTAGGTGTATATCCTAGAGGCCTTTAAACCAGCACATGCTACCTGCACAAAAACAGACACATGGATCAATGCAACAGAATAGAAGCTGCACAAACAAACCCATCAGCCATCTGATCTTTGACAAAGGGGCCAAAAATATGCAGGAGGAAAGACAGCCTCTTCAACAAACAGTGCTGGAGAAACTGGCTATTCACAGGAAGAAGACTGAATCTAGGGGGCTGAGGATTTAGCTCAGTGGTTCCCGGTGCCTGCCTCACAAGCGCAAGGGCCTGAGTTCAATCGCTGGTACCAAAAAAAAGATTGAATCTAGGCCCATTATCTCTCACCACATACTAAACTAAAATAAAAATGGATCAGAGATCTAAATATTAAAACAGAAACAATCCACTAGAAGATAAAATAGGTAAAACTCTTGACAAAGGCATAGGCAAGGACTTCCTGAACAGAATCCCATTACATGAGAAATAACATTAAGAGTCAGTAAGTGGGGGGCCAGGGATTTAGCTCAGTGGTTCCGCTATCTGCCTTGCAAGTGTAAGGACCCCAGTTTGATCCCTGGTACCAAAGAAAAAGAATCAGTAAGTGGGGTTGTATCAAATTAAAAAGCTTTTGCAGCAGGAGTGGTGGTGCACACCTGTAATCCCAGCATTTGGGGGGCTGAGGCAGGAGGATCGCTGTGAGTTCGAGACCAGCCTGGGCTACATAGTGAGACCCTGTCTCAAAAAGGGTGGGCGGTTTAGCTCAGTGGTTCTGCTGCCTGCCTTGCAAGTGCAAAGACCTGAGTTCAATCCCCGTACAGAAAAAAAAAAAAAAAAGCTTTTGCACAGAGCCGGGCACTTAGCTCAGAGGCACCATACCTGCCTCACAAACACAAGGTCCTAACTCAATCCCTACTACTATATACATAAATAAATAAAACACTGAGATTCTGTCTACCCAGAAAGAATGGCCATCATCAAGAAATCAAACAATAAATGCTAGTGAAGGCTGCAGGGAAAGAGAACCCTTCTACATTGTTGGGAATGTAAACTAGTACAACCACTATGGAAATCAGTATGGAGATTACTTAAAAAACTAAAACTAGAAATTCCGTTTGACCCAGCTATTCCCCTCCCAGGAGTCTTCTCCAAAGAGTTAAAGACATATTACACTGATACACGCATACCTGTATTTATAGCAGCACAACTCATAATAGCTAATTTTTTTGAAATAAGTTTCCTCAAATTTATGACCATCCTCCTCAACCTCCTCAGTACTGAGATTCTAGGCATGAGTCACCATATCCTGCTATAACAGCTAAATCTTAGGATTGACCTGTGTGTCCATCAACAAATAAATAGATAAAGAAAATTTATTTATGCAGAGTGGAGTTACTACTCTACTATAAAGAAGGCTAAATCTGATGAAGGAAATGCATCCAAGTGATAGAAATTAAGACAATAAGCTTACATACTGCCTGGTTTCTCTTATATAAGAAACCCAAAGTATAAATAAATTAAAGAGCAAAATAAAAGACAGATAACAGGAAAGAGACAGATGTTTTGTAAATGGGAAGGGGACTAAGACGGAAGAAGGAAGGGAGAGGAGAAGGGGAACTAAAATGAATTAAGATGTGTTATATACATGTAACAAATCCCCACAATAAATGTAAGAATTTACTGCAAACATATACTATAAAAATAAAAATAAACATTTGGGCTGGGCACGCCGGCCCACAGGTGTAACTTGGGAGGCTGAAGAAGGAAGATCACTGCAAGTTTAAGGCCAGACTAAGCTACACAGTGAGATCAAGGTCAGCCTGAACTACACAGCAGGTAGGTAGGTAGGTAAGTAGGTAGGTAGGTAGACAGATAGATAGATGGATGGATATAAACACACACACACACACACACACACACACACACACACAAGCAACTCCAGAACTAAGCTAGGGATGTAGCTCAATGTGAAGTAGTAGCTCTGGGTTCAATCTCCAGTACCACAAAATAGAAGCAAAGAAGGGCTAGGGGACATAGCTCAGTGGCTCAATCTCCAGCACCACCAAAAAACAGAAATAAGGGCCAGGGATTTAGCTCAGCGGTTCGGTGGCCTGCCTCACAAGCGCAAGGACCCAAGTTCAATCCCCAGTACCAAAAAAAAAAAAAAAGAAAAGAAAAGAAAAAGAAAGAAAGAAATAAAAACACCTCTCTGATTAAAGTGCCCACAATAAGTAGCAACTCACTGACCCAACTTTCAAGGCCAAGGTAGGGCAGCTGCAGCTGAGCTCCGTGTGACCCTGGTACCCCAGGAGGTGAAACATCGTGTCAAAGCCATGGAGCAGGTTCTCAGCACTGCTGTCTTCATGCCATGATGAGACAGTTGGAGCTGTATTAGTTCCAGCCCACTTTCCTGATGAAGCCACGTGTCAATGCAAAGAGCAGCCAGGACATCCTCTTGACTGCATTTATGACCTCAACCCATACAGACTGTGAGAGGACCTGGATGTACAAGTGCCAGTGATGTGACATCAGACCATGCTGGAGCTGATGGACACAGGGTGCGGGGAGTCACTTTCTTGGCCACCCCTGTGGCCCACAGCTGGCTGATCTTGGCGGTGCAGTAGCCCTTTCTCTGTCTACTGTGGAGATCAGCCACACCAGTTCCCCTCACCTCAGGGACTGACACCTGTGGGGGCTAAATAAAGGCAAGTCCTACATGTGGGCTTCAGCTGCCCCGGCTGGTGTCTGCTGCTGCTTATCCGAACTTATGTCAGCTACCTCCTACCTCCAGCATCCCGTCTGCCACCTAAGGGCTACCTCAGGGACTGGCAAAGGGATCTCCTTCCACTAGCACTTCCTCCTTGCCCTGCCGTTCCCCCAAGACCAGGTTTTGGCCAAGCACAGTGACACACATCTGTAATCACAGCACTTAGGAAGCTGAGT